CCCCCCCCCGTGAAAATGTTTTTAAAATTGACTTTTAATTACCGGTAATAGATCTACTTACAGGGCGGGCTATTCGACTCAAAACAAATATTTCAAACAACCCGCGAAAATTCAAGGCTAGAAATGAGAAGGCGCTTATGGAAAAACCCGTGGGAATCCCTCGCACGCTGCTCTATTTTTTGTTCTAGTTTCCAAAATAATTTTTTATGTACGAATATCGTTTATATTTTCAAAGGATAATGTAATAATTAAAATTTATTTAAAATATTTAAGTATTTTTTTTATTTAACTATTTTTTAAAAAAGTAACCTTGGAATAATGATTTGGCCGCCCCCTAAAGTCGGCCGCCTGCGTGCAATGCACACATTGCACAATAGGTAGCGGCGGCCCTGGGTGTGAGTAATAGTGTTTAAGAATATTAACAATATCCCCATTCTCTATTGGCACTAGAAAAGCAGTGGCGTAGCAAGGTACCCGTAGGCCCGGGTTCAAGAATATGTTGATGGGCCCCCTGTGGGTCAGGGTTAGGTTATTGTTGTTTTTTTAAGAATTTATGCACTGATAAAAAATTGTCGTTGTTATTTGTGTCACCTAAATGATAATCTTCGCGATGACCACTAACTGAAAGGTTGTTACTTGTGTCACCTAAATGATAATCTTCGCGATGTCCACTAACTGAAAGGTTGTTACATGTGTCACCTAAATGATAATCTTCGCGATGACCACTAACTGAAAGGTTGTTGCTTGTGTCACCTAAATGATAATCTTCGCGATGACCACTAACTGAAAGGTTGTTGCTTGTGTCACCTAAATGATAATCTTCGCGATGACCACTAACTGAAAGGTTGTTGCTTGTCAAAACTAACATTCACATGAATCGTCAGTAATTATCAACTTCTTCAATGTGCTCCTTGCTTACACCATCCACCGTTCTCAGTCATTCATGTTGTCAGTATGTTTGGCAAGCTTGTTGATGAAGTTAAGTCATTAGTAGGCCTATCATTTTTTTTTTAAATTATTCGTTTGGAAAACAAACTACATTATTGAGGCTGTCTCTGGGCATAAACCAGAAACTATCCGAACGACAGTCCAGTGGACATACCATAAGAAAAGCAGCCATTCAAGTGAAAGACACTATTCCATGATAAATGTAATTATCGCTCTATCTTTCAATATTTGTTATAAGCCTCCTCCCTAGTTCAGTGACGATAAGTAGCACAAAAAGTAAACATCTTTAACGATTCCTTAAGTAACAGAATATCTGTAGCGACGCGTGAATACTCACGTGTTCTCCCTCTCCCCTTGTTTTTATCGTGGACTATAAGCAGAAATAAGAGAGTGATCTTTCCTTAACTTCTTGTTTAAACTGTTGAGGGAAGAAGAGTATTATATATATATATATAGATATACATTTCTGGTAATAGAAAAGTGAGGGGAAAAAAAGATGCTTACTTGTTTAATTAACATAGAGGGAAAATAACCCAAAGAAATAATGGGACACAAAAGCTCCCCATCATTACAATAAACCCGAGGAAAGCAGTTCCTTACATTAAGGCTGTCCAAGCCGCTTGGACACTCACTATAGCTTAAAACACGGGTTAATGTTTTGAAGTGAATATAGTTAAGCAATATTTCCCCACTTTTTTGTCACCCCCAAGGCCTCAGGTAGGGAAGTTACAACCGATCATTAATCACGCGCCACGAAGTACGTATTTAGACTAAAAAGGCCCACATCTATTTGAGATAAGTTGCCCCATATTAGTTCAGATATCATATGTAACTACTAAATATTTCTTGAGGGGCTTAATCCCTATAGCTTATGTTGCATATAGAATAGATAAATCCCCCCCTGGCCCCATGGTTGTTACGCCATCGGGTGTGGGCCCTTAAATGGTCGTGGGCCCGGGTTCATTGAACCCTTTCGCGCCATAGATGCTACGCCACTGTAGGAAAGAAGGAGCACTTGTACGAATTTGTTATAGCGTATGGAATAAGATATGTTCTAACTCATTTAATCTCCGAAATTCCCAGATTTAAAAGATCGGGTGGCTGCCTGGTGGTGACGTCACGAGCTACTTCTATTTTTATCTCCCCTGTCACCTCTGTTAGTCATAAGAGATGACATGCTCTAGTTTCCTGTATCACAGGCAAGTCATCTCTGACCAAAGTCTTACCTGGCCTCGGTCAAGTGGGAGACTACTGATTACTGTTTGAGTCATATTCTAGAATGAACAAGCCGTTATTCTTACTCCCTGGACCTACATTTCTTTTTTTTTTATTTTTTGTGTTTGTTAAGCAGCGATTAGTGCATGATACACCAGCTGGTTCAATGTGGGCCAAAGGATAAATAAGTAAAGATTTCATTCTATTCGTCAGTTGAGTTACTTAGTCATTTAGACTTACAGATAACCTTTGTTTACGCTGCTAAATATCGTTATTTTCAAGGCGCCATTCCAATTCAAGGCGTCAATGTGGTTCTAGGCGTCATTTCGGTCCAAGGTGTCGTTTTGGTTTAAGGCGTCATTCCTGTTCGATGTGTCCTTCCGGTTCAAGGCGATAATGCGGTTCAATGCGTTAATCCGGTTCAAGACGTCCATTCGGTTCAAGACGTCATTCCGGATCATGACGTCATTCCGGTTCAAGGTGTCCTTCCGGTTCAGAGCATCATTCCGGTTCAAGGTGTCATTCCGGTTCAGAGCGTCATTCCGGTTCGGACGAATGTGGATGGAAAGTGTAAGGTATTTGTAACGGTACTACCATTGTGAAACATCAGTACCGGTAATTTTACCTTTCTTTTGGGGGGGGGGGGGGATTTTGGGTGGAGTGGGTAACTGAGCGCATTTAAAGATGGTCTAGGTACTTTCAAAGAAGAATCAGAGTGGCTTACAGTTACAGTACACACACACACACTCTTGACACACTTGTTACCTCCTCACTCCATAAACCGATTGAGTGAGACGTTTGTGTACGTCTTCGTATGTCGTCCCCTCCTTGACTGAACTCAAAGAAACATTCAAGTCCAATGCGGGAATTCCCGCTGACACCGTGTTCAAGATATAAAAAAAAAATGACATATACCAAATTGAAGTTTAAGATTATTACATTTTGAAAAATAACGGTTAAATCAGAGTTTTATCAACGTGTCTAGAATTTTTTCCCCCCATAGATACACATTAACTGTCAAATTTATAGGAAAATCGTTAGAGCCGTTTAAGAGATCCGTATTCGCCAACCCAGTTTCCTTCCGTGAATAGTTTGCAGGCTACTGCAAGGCTACTACGAAGAGTTGTAAAAAAAAAAACGCATTTATTTCGTAGAGGTTGTGACGGCTTATCGGGATTCACAATTTATTAGAAATTAGAATCATTGGATAAATTAGATGCGTCGATGGATGGAAGGATGGATGCAGATCCGGATTTAAATATGTGGAGGCCCAGGGCCAGTATTTTGTTGAGGCCCCTACACTTATTAATAAAGATCTGGAGGTGCAGTTGCTGAGCTGTAAAGAGCTTGGCTTCCGAACCGGGGACCGGGGTTCGAATCCTTGTGAAGACAGGGATTTTTAATTTCGGGATCTTCGGGCGCCTCTGAGTCTACTCAACTTTAATGGGTACCTGACATTAGTTGGGGAAAAGTAAAGGTCGTTGTGCTGGCCACTTGACACACTCGTTAACCGTAGACCATAAAAACAGATGACCTTTACATCATTTGCCCTATAGACCACGCGTTCTAAAAGGAACTTTAATATAAATAAATATATATATATATATTTAGATAGATAGATATTAATAAAAGATCCACTTCTGATTGAAAACAAAAGCATGCTGTATTTTAGAAGAAAGAAATAAGAGTTTCTATAAATTCAATCTCACTTTCCTTTTTAAAAAGTATTTAATACGCATGTATATCTATACATAATATAAAAGTTCATTTTTTTAAGTTTGTGGAGGGTTAATGCCCTTGTGAGACGCCCTGTGTAAATACGGAGATGTATTTATATATTCTGAGCATGCTACAATCCAACACTTTTTAATCTGTACATTTTTGCCAGCAGTAAAAAGGCGGAAAAAAATTGGGAAAAAATTACGTAGAAGTCTCTGACCCGTGGAAATTCTGATATTTTATCTCTTTTTGTGGTGGCCCCTTTCTTGTGGAGTTCCCGGGGCTGTAATCCCGCCTGCCCGCCCTTAAATCCGGCTCTGGATGGATGGATAAGCCAGTCTTCCTTTTTGTTTCTCATTACTAGGTCGGAGGGTTCAGACAGCAGCAATTTTTAGATTAGACAATTGTGACGTTACAAACTGTGGTCAGTTTAGACCAATAGCTCGATGCAAAGACATAAGTCGTGACATCAGACCTTTGACGTAGTTACGAGCTGATTGGTGTAAACGGCCCATAGGTTGCGAGGTCGCAAGTCAGTGTTCAGCCCTTTCTATGACGATTGGTCGCAGTTCAAACGAGTAGCCCTACATCTGAGATGAACAGCGCAGTCGTTTTCCAGATCAGGCAGCTCTCCGTACAGTTGTTCTTCTAAAGGGGGAGGGGGGTTGAGTCTAGTTCTGGCCTCTCGATAGAGTATGCCTTAAGGAACATGGTAGGTATTTCAAGTCTGTAGTTTAGATGAAGACTTTTGAAACTCGAATTATCCCCCCCCCCCCCCCAGGCATAAATAATAATTAGTGAAACACGAAAGATCTATTCTAGTTCAGTTTTAATCCAATATATTAATATATATTATATATAATATTATTGTACATAAACGTAAATATTGTAAGCAAAAAGAAGGTATAAACATTTTTTTTAAACATTAAAACTTTTTGTTCATATTGAAAGACACTCTACATACGTGTTAACCATGTGTGGCCTAGATCTATAATTTTGTGTGTAAACAAAGACCAGAGGGAATTATTTATTTATCACATTGACATGGGAGGTAACAAATCTGAACATAAGCACTCGATTCATATTATATGGCTTATTTCCCCCTTTTGCACCACTTATAAAAAAAAAACTAGCTGTTTGTAGCTTGTCGTAGCCTACATTAATATAAGAGTACTACGTTGTTGTTTTTTTCTTTGTTTTTTTCGGCATTAAGATTTAACACAATGTTAAGGTAAAATTAATCACATAATCCATACCATATATACAGTAGCATGTAAATATATGACCAAAGATATATAATAGAATACTTAACTAAATGAATTGGCCAAATAAAAATAGTTTAACTTTAATCGGGCAGTAGCACAAAAATACCACTAATAATATTACTAATTAATTCACATTCTGGGAAACGTTAAATTCCATATTTTTTAATTTAACTCAAGTCCATCAACATATATGTTCAATTATAAACATAACAGAGTACGAAACACAATCTGTTCAGTTTTTAGGATGAAAGTGTATCAACATTTCTGCGTTGGCCTAAAAGGTTTCCTTCTCAAACCCTGTGGTCCGTGGGGCATATAATGTAAAACTCTATGCTTCTATGCCCGGCGGTTAAAGGATAGATATCATGTGGCCAACACAACGAAAAACCGTATTAACTGTCCCTAACTAATGTTAGGTACCATTAAGAGTTGAGTAGAATCAGGGTTAGGGCATAACAGGGATTCAATCCTGTGATCCCTTATTCGGAATCAAAACGCTTATCTCTCCGTCACCATGTGCCAATATCCTACAGAGAATTAACTTTCAACCCATAAATGTTAACTCTCTTATATTGGGTGCGGAGGAGCTGTGGCTGAGTGGTTCGAATCCTAGGTTTTTAATTTCGGGATCTTTAAGGCGCTTGAGTCCACCCGGCTCATTAATGCAACCTGACATTAGTTGGGGAAAAGTAAAGGCGGATGTTCGTTGTGTTGACCACGTGACACCCTCGTTAACCGTGGGCCAGAAAAACTGATGACTTTTGTATCATCTACACTTTAAACCGTATGGTCTGAAAGGGAACTTTTTTTATATTCGGTACACACACAATGTGTGGTCTGTACACAATATATATAATAATTTAGGTCTATACATTGTAACCATAACAGCAACGTAAATACTTAGCGTAAAGAGACAAAAAGTTATGCCTTGTAAGTTTAACAGCTGATTTGGTACCGTATTAAAATACTAAATGAAATTCACCTTTCACCTTTCCTATAACCTAGTGGACCATTTGGGCACCAGACAAGATCGTTGTCCGTCTTTCTCTAGACCTCTTTGCATTGGATAGAGTTTTTTTTTAATGAGCGAAATGCGCTTACTTCCGTAAAAATAAAAAAAAAACGTGAGAGATATGAACATTTCTAGATAATAACTAAGTGGACCTAACAATAAATAATTGATTCTAATACCTCATTCTAAAGGCTAAATCTCTGGTTTCACTAAACAAACAAAAAAAAAATACACCATCAAAATGGCCAGTACAAATTAATCGTGCATAGCAATGTAGAATGGCGAAAAGAAAAAAAAAGGTTTACACTTGTTGAGATTGAGTTTCAATGTTGAATTATTAAATTTTCTTTTCTGACAAACTTAAATCCAAATTACATCTTTCTTTAAGACCAAACAAGCTTCAAACCTAAGTTGAATTTTGGTAAAGGGGAAAAAAAGAATAACTCTAGAATGTCGGATAAAAAAACCTGAAGATGAGATGAGCACAGAAAGAGGAAAAGACATCCTCCCCTCCCTATCAATGTCACATAATTTGTGCAAAATCACTACAAACACTGCATCACCACCTGGCGGACCAATGCAGAACCTTATCTTATAAAATACAGACGTTTCTTGAAAAAAACAACAACAGAAGATGATTACGTCCCTACGCGTGTCCCTAGTCATGCCTGTTAATCAATGACTTAAACTCTGCCAAGTCGTTGGTTTTCCTGGCTGATTTCCGGTCCACTGCAGCACAACCTGGCATTTCAATGTTTACGGAGACAACCAGCTCATTGAATGTCACCAAAATAGCTCGTTGGAATAGCTCTCTCAATGGTACAATAGATCAAGCATCGAGCATCCTATATCATTAAGTGTTTATAAACTAAAAATTTCAACGTTCCTACCCTCTACCCGTAACACTTTCATTGGTCTTTTCTTGTGTGGGTTTGGTTTTTTTTTTTTTGCAAAGCTAATATCAACTCTGTCTGTCTGTCTACTACAATTTTTTGGGATCGTTATTTCTCCAAGTTCCCATTCTTGAATCAAGTTAAAACCAAACAAAATTATTTGTTGTACCTAACAAAAACATAAATAAATTTTTTTTAAAAATTAGTGTGTTAATTATTTGGGAATTAATTATTTTTTATTTGGTATCGAAAAAGAGAAATAAATGGTACTCATTTAGATGTTGGCTGCATATGTGGAGTTCTATTAAGTGTATCAATTAGTTTGGATCAGTCATGTAATAGAGACAAGTTGGCTGAGCGGAAAGCGCTTGGCTTCTGAACCGGGGGTCCCGGTTCGAATACTGGTATTCTAAATTTCGGGATCTTTGGGTGCCGCTGAGTCCACCCAGCTCTATTGGGTACTTGACATTAGTTGGGGAAAAGTAAAGGTGGTTGGTCGTTGTGCTGGCCACACGACATCCTCGTTAACAGTAGGCCACAGAATCAGATGACCTTTACATCATCTGCCCTTTAGACCACAAGGTCTGAAAGGGGAACTTTTTTACTTTAGTCATGTAATTAGTAATAAGTTTTAGACGACAATCTATAAAGGGGACTAATTCAGCTTATACCACCACTCCAGTCAAGTACTATTTCTTTCCCTTGTTTGATATACCAAACTAATTAATTTATTACCAATAGTTATTTAACTAATTAGTTTTTTTTAATTGTTTCTTGTGTTGTCAGTTAAAAGGAATAATTGTGCAAAAATTTCAGCTTAATTTGAGATAGGGTGTCGAAGAAATAACGTGTACAAACTTTTGGCCAGACAGACAGAGTGAGTTGATATAGGATTCATTAAAACATTTGGATACAGTTCCTTCAAATATTCAATCATCTAGAACCTGTCAAGGGACCACGCTCAGATCAATAACCAATCTTCGAACAGGCTCTTCTCAATCCCCCTCCCCCCTCCCGGGCCTTTTTTTTTTCACTAGGAGCTTTTGCCACTTTTTTTTTTTTGCTCAATTTTTCGGTGGATTTTTACCGTTGTTCTTTCGTTAACATGGTAACAATATCCGTGCTTTCTGTTTAATGTAGGACTTAATAAAGGCAGAAACAAAGGACATTATATATGTGGTCTGATAGTGTATTGATTAATTTTAGTCATTGATTATAGACTTTCTGTTGTCATACAAACTAATAAAGTCTTCTGAAGCTAAATTCTTTATGTTTAATTAAGATGATTTCATTAAGGTAAAGATAAAATTGGTTATATACACGTATTTTAGTGGTATGATATATAAGGGTTTTACTATGATGATTTATTATAGACTTTCTATACGTTAAAGACTTAATGGTCAGAAGATGGATTTAGTGTAACGGTCTAATGTCTCCATTGCTAAGATGGCAAAGCCTGCTTGCAATCATTTAGTGAGCCCCAGGGACACATGGGATGACACCACAAATGGCCGACTGAACGGCATGCTATCATCAATATCATGGTGAAAATGTGAGTAAAAAACTGTGACAAACTAGAGTAGTAATGTAATTTAGTCATTGCTCTAGTTTGTTTTTTTTCCTTGGTGTCATCGAGTGATAGTTTGTGCAATGATTTTTACACTTGGGACGTCGCAAAGGAAGCGTCTTTCAGTTCCTGAGACGTTTCACCGGGAGCGCCGCTCACTTCTTGAGACTTTTCATTGGGAGCGTCCTTCACCTCTTTAGACGTTTTGCTGGTAGTGCCCCTGACTACTTGCAATGCTGCACTGGTAGCGCCTCTAACATCACGTGGCCTTGCGCTGGAAGCGCTCCTCGCGTCTTGTGACGTTGCACTGGTAGCGCATCTCACTTCTTGAGATGGTGCACTGGGAACACTCCTCACTTCTTGCGACGATGCACTGGGAATACCCCTGACTACTTGTGGTGCTGCACTTGGAGCGCCCCTCGATTCTTGTAATGCTGCGCACGTTACTTCCGGTGGCGTTTCAGTGCACGTGCTTCTCACTTCCTGTGATGTCATTCTTGGGGTAACATTATCATATTCATTACTCGCTGGAAAAAAACAATAAAAGAAATAATTCAATTATTTTGTTGTATAATAAATTGATATATTGCTAGTATTCAATACAAGCAAGCAATACAAAGTGAAGTCAGGACCGGATTTAGACTTCATAAAGCCCTAATCTATTTGAGCCCCTTATAAGAAAAATTATACTTCAAAACAAATTTTTTTTTTGGGGGGAGGGAGGGTCCTTGGCTATAGCCGTATGTTACCTTTAGGGAATCCAGCACTGAGTGGCGGCATTATTTAAATCAGGGATGGCCTTTTGGTTCCATGGTCAATTTTGTTTTACTTCTGATTCAGATGACTGGCAACACTATTGGAATTATATGAAGAGAGAGGCAGCTATGCAAAAAAATAGCAAAGAGTTCAGCCTACAAAGGGAGACTATTCCGAATGGACAAGACGACGAACAGTCTGGTTGAAATTGTCTCCAAAATAGGGTTATACCGCTACAGTAAGAAAAGCGCCATGAGATGAGTCTCTGTGGGATTTCCCGCTAAAAGTTCATCAAAAACTTTCTTTTACTTTTTTAAAAATTGCCGTTTACGTCATTTTAAGATTATAGTTAAGGCAAAAAGACAGAGAGAAATGGAGAGAGACAATTGGCACATCCCAACGGTTCAACAGACTAATTCAATGTTAAGACATTTACCAAATTAATGTCATGTACTGTCGTCAGATCCCAACGGTTCAACAGACTAATTCAATGTTAAGACATTTACCAAATTAATGTCATGTACTGTCGACAGATTCCAACGGTTCAACAGACTAATTCGATGTTAAGACATTTACCAAATTAATGTCATGTACTGTCGACAGATTCCAACGGTTCAACAGACTAATTCGATGTTAAGACATTTACCAAATTAATGTCATGTACTGTCGACAGATTGCAGATGTCATACCCAACAGAAGCAGAAAGAAGGGTGAAAATGCAACGGCGCCTGGTGATTATATATGCCCAACCTGCGATCGCAGCTGTGTATCAAGGATTGGCCTCTTTAGTCACACAAGAAGTTGCAAAGGGAAAAGATCGTCTCTCGAGGCGTAAAATGCCACAGAGACTGTCGACAGATCCAACGGTTCAGCAGACTAAGTCAGTGATGCCCAAACTAATTCGACCTGCCGGCCATTTTAATTTCCAACACTCGTCTCGCGGGCCACATGACCGAAAAGTGACAAAAACTACAAAAAAAATTGTTCTGAAACTAGTTTACCAGAACCCCTTGGATTTAGTACTACATTCGTGCGATATTTGACGATTATATTTTTCAACGCGTCAGAAAATAGCTTCATTTCTCTACTTAAAATGTTAGCAACAGTGTAGTTACCTTTAAAACCGACTCATTTTCTTGTCTTTTTTTTGTTGAATATTCCCATCGATCC